CCAGCTTGTTTGTCTTTTGCTATTGGAAGCGGGGGGGGGGCGGCGGGACCGTGACCAGTCCCAGCTTGTTTGTCTTTTGCTATTGGAAGCGGAAAGCAGGAGAAGAGAGCGGAAAAAAAAAAAACAGAGAAGAGAGAAGAGAGAAGAGAATCTCTCTGCTAAAGACCCCCTTGGGCGCGAAGTCGAGGCCGTTTCTTATAGGAGGCGGCGGGGCAAAGGCGCATGGGCGGGAAAGGATGGGGAGGCGGAGAAGGTGGGTGGCGCATGCTTGCGGAGAGGAGGATGGGAGAGAGGAGGCGGCGGGGAGATTTCGAATCGAGAAAAAGAAAAAGAAGAAAAAAAGAAGAAAAAAAAGAAAAAGAAGAAAAAAAGAAGAAAAAAAAGAAAAAGAGGAAAAGCAGGTGTTGAGGGAGGAGGGGGGCGGGGCGACGAGATGGATCCTGAGCGCGGGCAGCAGACTGACTGGGAATTGGGAGTCGGGCGCTTGCAGAGGTGCTTTAGGGAGGCGCAGGGCAGGGGGCAGGGGCAGGGGGCAGGGGGAGAGCGAGAGGGAGGGCAGGGGAAGACCAAGGCAGGGGGGAGCAGGCAGGCAGGCAGACCAGTAAAAGCAGGGGTCGCGGGGGGTGTGGGGGCCGGCGGATGTTGGGAGGAGGGAGAGGGAGGTGCGCAGGGGGGGGTGTTTTTTTGCTTCGGCACTTCGCCAGTTCGGTGGCACAACACAAATCTCCGCCACCCGGCGGGTCGGACCTACAATGTGTGACCCCGGCGCGCACGCAAAAGCGCGAGGGAAGTCCAAGGTGAAATCAAGGGCCGTACTCCCACTCCCACGACTCCCACTCCCACGCATTTTTATTACCTTTTTTTTCCCACCGGTCAAATGTGGACGGAATTACCGTCCGGATGCTTCCAGACAGACAGATAGGCCTCCGAGCGAGTATTGTATATTGTATCTGTCTTCGTGAACTCCCGAGAGGCAGTGGGTGGGGGCGCCGGCGCGTCGGCGTTGGATCTCTGTTTTCCCTTCACTCTTTTTGGTTTCCCGCCGTTGCTGCTTGCTGTTTGGCTGTTTTCTGCCAAGTCGTCAGGAGGGTTGCCTGACAGTATAGGTGCAGGCTACGTGCGTTTGGGCTTCGAGCCAGTGGTGTGTGTGTGTGTGGGTGTGTTTGTGAGACGGTGTGCGTGGGCGTGTGGTGCGCAGCGGAGTGGTGGGTGTGTGCTCCGCGTGTGAGTTGCGTAATTATCCTGCGGGGGAAGGTTACCCGGCGCGCGCACGAGGGGCCGGGGAGGGCAGGGGAAGGACGGTCCTGAAGTAGTAGGAGGTGAGTTGGAGTCGGGTCATCTCTCACCCATACCCGTGAGTGCGGGTGCCTTATAAGCCTGGCAGCCTCAGTTGAAGGATGTCTTTAAGGCAACAGGTTGGGTGGTGGTATGTCGATGAGCGTGGAGTGTGTAGGTGTGTGTGAAGTGAAGGAGACGGAGTGCGGAAGCACGACCTATCTTGCTCTCCGGGAAGAGAGAAAGCGGAGTGTATGTAGAGAAGAAGGAACAGTACATACCGAGGACAACAGTGAAGAGCGCAAGAGGAAGACCGGAGGAAAGCTTGAAGTCTTTCCTGCTCTTCTTCTCTTCTTATGTGCCATATAGTCTCTCACGCACGACGCGTGAAGAGGGAGTTTGTGGCTGCCAAGGCGACGTTGCGCGGCCTTGAAGCAGAGCATGCGTACCCAGCGCGCGGCACGTGTAAGACCAAGTAGCTGCGTTATAGCGTGTATAACATATCCCGTAGTCGTCTCGTTGAGTCCCAAGGATCACTCACACACAGACACACACAGAGAGAGAGAGAGAGAGAGAGAGAGAGAGAGAGAGAGAGAGAGAGAGAGAGAGAGAGAGAGAGAGAGAGAGAGAGAGAGAGAGAGAGAGAGAGAGAGAGTAGGCGGAACAAGACGTGTCGAAAGCGGTCGCTCGAGGAAGAGCGAGGAGCGAGAAGGGAAGGAAACGAGGAAGCAGGAACGGGTTAATCTTGTGTGCGCCCAGGTTGGTGTGCGCGCGTGTGTGTGTGTGTCTGCGCGAGTGTAAGTGTGTAGTGTGTGAGCTTGACGACTTAGGCGAATAGAGATCAGGAAGAAGTGGTGAAGGAGGAAGAGGGAAGGAAAGGCCGCCGCTGTTCGTTTGGCTGATTGCGCATCGCGAGTGTAGCCTCGATCTTATCTCCAGGGTTTAAGATTGGGTAAAGGAGAAAGCGGCGAGTTATTAGCGACGCGCGTGTGCGCGCATGATATCTTATTTGCTCTTGATAATCAATGACCGACCGTTGTGTTTAGTTGTGTACAGGTCTCACACACCGAAGGATTCCACTGCGCGCGAGCGAGCGAGAGAGAGAGAGAGAGAGAGAGAGAGAGAGAGAGAGAGAGAGAGAGAGATTGTTGCTTTCTATTATACTGTACTGAGTTACGGATCCATTGGGGAAGAGGTATGTGGTCGCTCGCGTGACGTGGGCACTCGGGACTGCCGGTTTGGTGGGATCTCGTGGACTGACTAAGGAAGAGACGGCCGAGGTGGGTGTTTCACATCGAACGGTTGAACAGCAGGCAGGACGGTTGAGCGAGAGGAGCACGCTCCGTTCATCGGTAGTAGTAACTCCCGTATATCGCATGCGTCGACTAAGTGCACGCGCGTCCGTCGCGGAGAATTTGATTAAGCTATCTCGGTGCAGATACGCTCGTCGGTGGAGAGTTTTCGTCTTTTCCTGCGAGGCTTTTCCCTTTCCTTGCGCTCCCCGAATGGCTTCACCGATGACGGGCGGCGATAAGGGTGGCCGAACTACTGATCCTTGTTGGCAACATAATCGAGATGTTGTCCTTCAAGTCGACGGGTCTTTTAATACCTTGAAACACCGACGGAATTACTGCACTCACTTCTGATACTGATATCCCCTTGGATCGTTTGCGCCGCTATTGCCGAAAGCTCAACATTCGGCGGGAACAAGTCACCTCCCAGGAACTACGTACAGGGGAAAATCCTTCCAGAGTGTGTGCGTGTGTGTGTGTAAGAGAGAGAGAGAGAGAGAGAGAGAGAGAGAGAGAGAGAGAGAGAGAGAGAGAGGTGAAGACGGCATGGCAAGGCTTTGAGCGGAGGAAGAAGTTGACTTGGGTCGTGAGCGCTCACAAACTACTGTGAAGATGTCGGGATAATGACGGACGGACCCGCACCGAGGACTACAGGCAGCAAATTGGTTTCTGTAATTGGTTTATGTAAGATCACGAACTGATTGAGTGGGTCGGAAACACTTGTGTGGATTTTCCTGTGTTGGTGCGGAGTTCTGCATCCTGCGGGAAGCAGGTTAACTTGTTATAAACTGCGATTACGCGGGGGCTTCAGACTCGCGCAGCCCAAGGGAAGTACGACGAGGTGTTTGGTTTTTTTTCGCGTGAATAGGCGGGGTTTGGTCTCGCGCGAAAAGGACGGGGGGGGAAACAACGCTTCGTTGGAGGGGTAAAGAGGGAGAAGGAGAGAGAGAAGGTGGGGTGGGGTATAAGGCGAATCGCGGAGTGGAGAGGTGGGAAGGAATTGGTCTCAGATTCTCGTTTGGTACTGAGCGTCCTTGCGAAAATGCATCGGGGCTCTCCTAATGAGAGGTTGTACGCTTACGCAGATTCATCGGAAGTAACGTTAGCGTCTTCCTCGCATGTCTCCACAGCCGTCGCTGATGTTTCTCTCCCTATTATGCTGTCCACTTTGACTGCATTGGTCGAAGCCTCCTCCGTTGAATCTCTCGATTCCTCAGAATCGCTGAGCCTCTGTAGCAGCAGTAGCAATTGCAGTCTGGGCTCTCCTCTTCCCTTCCGTTCTTCTGAGGAGCTTGCTCACTACAAGGAAGCTGAACCTCTTTGCGGCTCAGTCCCGGAGTACGAAAGACATGTTTTTCTCTGTTATAGGGAAAAAACACCTGGAGACGTTCTCGACAGATGTGCTTGGGATGAGATGCCAAAGTCTCTGGGGTCTGCTGTGAAGAAGTGGTCCGACCAGCTTCGGAAGAAGGTACTTGACCCCTCTTGTGGTCTTCTTCACAACCTTGTTATTAACCATGTGCCTTGAGCCAACTGATGGTCTGCTTGTCTGGTAATTTCCATGGGTGTGGTGACTACCGTCTTTCCCCGAACAAAGCGCACCCTCATGTTGACTGTATCGGGCCGGAAACATGCCTTGCATACGTTCATTTTCAGGCTGCGTTATGTTCGGGGGAAGACGGTAGGCTAGGATGTGGCTTCATTCTCTGTCTCCGTCATTCGCCCTCTGCTCTGTGTGGAAGATTGGAAAGACGAGAGGGAAAAGCTGTGAAGTCGTCAGAAGAAGTCGGAATGGGTAGGGGAAGGAGGGGTGGACGAAGGGATCGATGATGATATTTCTTGTCGTCCACATGGCGTGAAGCCGCTGGAAGGATGACTTGCGTTCGGAGACGACGGTAGTGCAATTCGTGTAGAGAGTTGAGGGACAGTAGGAAGAGGGAATTTCTTTGAAGGCGAAAGCAGCGAAAGTAGGAAGAGGGAGGAGTCAGCATCTGCTTGGATTCACTCCGCAAGCGGGGGCGAGAGAGTTGAAGGGTCGAAGTACAGCCTCGAGTACGAGTCACCTTTCGAAAGGTGGTTGGAGCTGGGAAAGAGAATAGCAGGGACGTGAGGAGGAATTTGAGGGAGGGAGGAGAAGAGGAGGGGACGGTAGTCGGAGGGAGGGAAACACTCGTTCGCTTTTGGAGTCGCCTTTGTGTGCGCCGTGGCGGTGATTGAAGGTTTTGTGGGTGGGGTAATAAAGAGGGGGGATAATTGGACTGCACGCTCTCCGACTCCATCGTTACGCTGGCCTCGCGGAGGGGCAGTTGGTTGGGAGGCGCGGAGGGGCAGTTGGTTTGGAGGCAGGAGCGAGGGGAAGGACGCCAATGTGTGAGTGGCGTGTGATTGCCTGCTGAAGGGTTAGCGGGAAGATTTTCGGCTGTGATGGGTAGTTGGTGGAAGTGCGGGTGGAAGAGCGCGGGTACTGGTCCAGCAGCTTTGCATGATTTGGCACTCGCGATCACGAGTGGAAGGGGAGTGCTGGTCGGATCGCTTGGGGACAGGGGTTGGAGGGGCGGTATTTCGCAAAGGGATGCGTCGCTATGGTGCGCAGCTTGAGGGTGTAGAATGAACAGGGTAAGCAAAACTGCGGAGGAGTGGAACATGTCGTAAGGGAGAGGTTCGGTGATGATGAGCTCTCCTTGGAAGTATTAGTCAGTGCTTAAGAGTAAGAGCTATGTAATATATACCGACAGAGAGATAGAGATAGATAGGTAGGTAGGTAGGTAGAGAGAGAGAGAGAGAGAGAGAGAGAGAGAGAGAGAGATGCTCCTCGAGCTTTGCCGTGAAGGGAGTGTAGGTAACCCGTTTCGGGGACAAGCACTCGATGGAGCGAGTAAGTACTTGAACTCGAAGAGAGAGAGAGAGAGAGATGCTTCTGGTTATTAAGAACTTTATTTGGTAGAACTTGCTGTAAGATAGTTCCGTAATGACAGGGGGTTCTATCCGGGTGGACACTGTCTTCTTGAGGGACGGTGATGGATCGGGACGTTCGGAGGGAGGCAAGTCGCCGCCGTGTAGGGTATGGCTTGTTGGCACAGTTGGAATGAGAAATGTGGGTGAAGAAGTGGACTTGTGGGAAGTGATTGTGTTATAGCTATAGAGCGGGGCTTGGTCGGTCAGGCTTGCGTTTATGAAGGGGAAGGTCTTCTTGGAGAGGCATATGGAGAAGAAGCCGCGGCAGGGATTTAGAGAGCGAGGGAGAAGGTGAGGGGAGAGGAGCTGAACGTGCGATTTGGGCCGCGGCGGACACGTAGTTGAGGAGATGAGATGCGTGCGACCGACGATGTTTGCGCGGCATGAACATTGGAAAGCAAGATCACGCCAAAGAAGGGCTTTGAGAGCAGGAGCGGACGTGTGGATAGGGCTGGCAGGGTACAGGTAGATGGATCTGGGTACAGAGATGGCGGGGGGTGGCGGTTCTGAGAGGTTAGCGATGTGCTGTGGAGATCAGTTTTCGGGGAATAGGTGTGCCACGTGGCAATGGAGGGTCCTTTGAGAGAGATGGATTGATATAATACACGGTAGAGTAGCGATGCTTGGAGAGGTAGCAACTCTCGAGGAGGCTTTCGTGAGCCAGGGGCGTTGCTGTATGGGGTGATTCCTCTGGTAGGGAGCATTTGTTGTTGGGGAAAGGCTCTTGCAGGGAGGGCGGCGGCGATCCCCGTGTCACCGTGTGGCAGCAGTAGATGGTCGCCGCGGTGTGGAAGCTCATGCTTGATGGGGTGATTCTCCTGGTAGGGAGCACTCGTTGTAGGGCAAAGGCACTTGCAGGGAGGGGGGACGCGGGTGTTGGGATAGGATGAGGAAGGCTTGTGCGGTGGGCTGAGACTTGTCGTGAGAGTGAGGAGGCTTGTGTGGGTGTTGGAAGACGATTGTGCGGGAAGAAGGATACGCTCGGTGGAGGGACGATGCTTGCGGCAGGGGCGGGTGCGGGGGCGGCGGATGGACGGCGCTCACCGCTTGTAGGCCGATGGTTCCCCCGGCGGAAGCGATGATTGTGCGCGGAAGCTCACGCTTGCGGCGGGGTGTCGGGCTTCTGATGCGGGCGGGAGGGAGGGTGGGCGCTCGTGGTGGGGACAAGGCGACGATTCTGCGGGGAAGCTCACGCTTGTGGCCGGGTGTGGGATTTATGATACGGGAAGGGTTGGGGCTTGCGGTGTTCGGCGGAGATTTCTTTCGGGGCCCTCGGAAGACCCGTGGTGAGTGGGTATGATTCCAGCTGGAGCGATGCGGGGTGACGTGTCGTCGTGAGGGGGGACGATGGTTGCGGCAGGATGGTCCCGACGCTTGTGTCGGGGTTGTACTCTCGCTGCGGGAGGGTGGGCGAGGAAGCGGCTTGGAAGTCTGGCGACGCTTGTGGGAGGGTTGGTACTTGTGGGAGGGTTGGAAAGGGTGGTATATGGGAAAGGTAGCGGCTGGGGGCGACGTTTATGGGAGGGTTGGGAATTGTGGAGGGTTGGAAAGGGTGGTATATGGGAAAGGTAGCGGGTGGGGGCGACGGTCGGGGAACAGTCGACTCTCGGGGGAAAGGCGGTCCTTGTGGAGGCGCGACGCTCATGTTGAGGTGCGACGCTTGCGTGAGGGCAAGGTCGTCGCTTGTGGATGGGCCACGTTGTGTGAGGTGCGGCAGAGGAGAGACTGACTCGTGCTGAGAAGCTGATAGACAGAAACCTCTCGGAAAGGCGTCTTCACTTCCTGGGAGGTGGGTGAGACGCTTCGACCGAAGCTGTGTTCGGGGGGGGGAGGTGTAAGCAGGGATGATTTCGAGGGATAAGGAGGGGAGGATCCTGGAGCTGGAGAAACTCTACGTGAAGTAGAGAAGTGGATGATGACAGGGTTGTGGAGGAGATAGCTGGCTTTCAGATAGAAGCTTGAAGGGTTAAATTTTAGACGGAAGAGCGTATTGTGAAGGTGTGTCGAGTGAATCCGGGGTTCTGCGGGGTTAAGGTCGCTCTGCAAATCTACTCGTCAAGCCGTCAGCTAAGGTGACAGAGTGCGGGAGGCTAAAGGGTAGGAAAGGCATTGTCAGGAGGAGGGCAGGGTATAGACCTCCTGGGATGGTGAACATTGGGTGTGGAAGCTTCGGTGAATGGCCGCAGCTAGGAGGAGGACGATGCTTTCTATTGAGCCTTGGGAAGTTTCCTTGCGATTGCATTTCTGTCTGTCGATGAGCATTGGATTATCCAGGGGATTTGTGGTCGTGTTTCGGCCCTTCAGATGAGGTTGGAGTGAGTGAGTGAGCGAGTTGTTGTTTCCTGGGGTTCGTATATTCAGTTTTGACGTTTCATTGTATTCCCTCTGTGCTTCTCTTGCAGGTTATGCTCACCGTATTCGTATATTCAGTTTTGACGTTTCATTGTATTCCCTCTGTGCTTCTCTTGCAGGTTATGCTCACCGTATGTCAGGGTGACTGTGACTCTGATCTGTTCGACGGGACCGTCATGTTGTTCCCCGACATGCTCGAGTACAGGTAAATTCGCCTCTCACGTACAATGAAACGTCATGATCGTTTAAGTGAGGTGACGAAGTGAGTAGCTCTCTTTGTAATGCGCGCCAGTGCTTGGTTGACTTCATGCTTTAAGCTTTAAGCATAGGGCTTTCTCTCTTGTTCGGTGTCGTCTTTGTTCGCTGTCGTCTATAGCATTTAGATTAGAAAAAGAAAATATGATCCGCAGTGTGCATGTATGTGGACACATGTTGTGGTTTAGGTACAGTTGTTGTCTGGAACCGGTGTGGACACTCTTGGAATCGGTTTGATCGAGATCTCGGCACCGAGGAGTGAAGCCCAATTTGTAAGCGAGAGGAGTGAAGCCCAATTTGTAAGCGAGAGGAGTGAAGCCCAATTTGTAAGCGAGAGGAGTGAAGCCCAATTTGTAAGCGAGTGAGCACCGAGGAGGTGTAGTAGTATATCTGCAAAGGCAGGGAAGTTTAGTGGAGCTGAATATGTGACAATATATCGAAAGGTTTTTACTTATGGAAAGGTTTCTACACCGCTGTTGAAATTGAAGATTAGTGTCGCGCGCTGGGAAACGGGATGGAGTTTTCCAGATTTGGTACACGAATCTTTATTTTATACTTCATGCTATAATATAACAGCTGTGCCTGCCCGTGTGTGAAGAACTGTTTCGCGAAGCGTGTGTATCTGCCTTTTGTGTTAACCGTGGGGGAAAAGCCAGCTGTTTAAGACTGCCCGTCGTCGCCGGAATTGAATGCCCGGTCACAACAGCTATATCTGGACTGGAAGTTGCTCGAAATACGGCTGACCGGGCGTTCTATTCGGGGGAAGACGGGTCGAAAATTTAAATGGGTCTTGACGTTGTGGTAAATGAGGCAGTAAAGCGGCAATACGGCGGCTCAGCTGTAATGAGGTGATTGCGATGAGAGGTGAAGCTGCTCAAAGCTTTGTCTTTGATTCGACATTTCGATGATTTGTTGTCGGGCGATCCGACCTTTCCCCTCTTCCTGGGAAACATGTCAGCGCACCCTTATCGTGACTGTATGTGGTCGGAAAGATAGTTTGTATACACTCGTTATGAGGGTTTATGTGCGGAAAAGGTGGTAGCCGTTGCGTGGCTGTGTGGCAGGCGTGCCGAGGGAGGTTTTAATGGATTGATGGCTTCGCAAATGTGACGAATTGGGTATTTGGAAGGGTACGCAGCCCATCGATCAAGATGGGCTCAAGAGCGGCACTCTCTTGCGTTGCTGGTACCACCCGCTACCTACTTCCCCCGAATACAACGCACGGTCATTATAGCTGTATGTAGACTGAAAGATGCGTTAAATACAGCTATAATGACCGTACGTTGTATTCGGGGGAAGAAGGTAGCTGTTTGTAGTCGAAATGATGTAGACGCCCGAGTATTTTTAAGGAAGAGAGCAGAGCCTTGTTCTGTCGGGTATTAGCGAGTCAGAGGACAAAAGGCGGTCTGGTAATGACGTAAATGTACACGGGCGAGTGGATGAAGTGACGAGAAAGGAAGTGTGCTCTCGAGGGTGTAGGTCCATCGTTGCTGAATCGTCTAGTCACGTAAGTATAGTATGGGGCAGAGAGCAGAACCTTGGTCTGTCGGGCAATGGTGAGGCAGAGAGCAGAACCTTGGTCTGTCGGGTAAAGGAGGATATGGAGATCGCGGGTGTAGATAAAGATACGAGGAAATAAGTGTCTCCGACGGAGGAAGTAAAACTTAGGACGCGGTTTGTGAGTACTGCTGAGGCGTATATGCATGTATCTATGTGTACAGGGATTAGTTACGTTTCTGCTTTCCGCTTTTTTTTTTTTTTTTTTTTTTTATGTGAGAAGTGAAGTATTGTCTTTCCCCGAACACAACTCACCCTCATTTTGTCTGCACCGGATCGGAAATATAGTTAGTGTACATTCGTTATGAGGTTGCGTTGCGTTGTATTCGTGTGAAGACGGTAGTTAGGGGTAAGAGTCGCAAGATCGATGAAGGCATGGCTTTTTTTTGTGAGCCTTGGTGTATCTATGAAGAGCTGTGTGGCGCATACGCTATGACTCACCACGTGGTCTAGTTCCCGGTCGTGTCGTGGAGTCGTGACATGTGCACTGATGTGGTTATTTAAAGACTGACGACGCGTGAACACAATAATGACGACGGGCGAAGGAGACTGCAGCGAAGGCAGGAGGCCTACCGTCTTCCCCCGAACACAACGCACCATTATTTTGGCTGTATCTGGCCCGAAATATAGCTTGAATACATTCATTTTTAGCAGATAACAACAGCGAAGGCGAGGAGGCCTAGTAGATGACAGACTGGAGTGCTATCTATACGAGGGTAAATTGCGAAAGTAGAAATTGTGGCGAAGGCGAAGAACGGGGGGATAGTATCACCGGGGGGATAGAATTGGAGTTGTGCTATGTTCGCTGAGGTGGAATACAGCGAAGAAGTCAAGACGGGGGAAGCACGAACACGGGGAAAAAAAAAAAAAAAAAAAGAAGTACGAATACAGCGAAGGCGAGGAGGCGAAGAAGGGAAAGGAGAAGACAGACTGCGTACTACTTGCTATCAAGACGAGGGTGAATGACTTTACCGACTGCGGACGGAAGTCGGGATCGGGATGATTGCAGACTACAGGCTGGATGTTGCAGTGTTTGCTTTTCGTCGTTCCCCTTTGTCTGTTGTGTTCTTCGTTCTATTGTGTTGTTGTTTTTCTCTGGTACGTCAGTCGTACTTGCTATACGACTGTGGTCTTCAGTTATTGGCATCGAATCATGCAGCAGACCTTGTCTGGCACGTCCGTCTGTTTTTTTTTTTTTTTTTTTTTTTCCCCTAATGAAGGTTTCTGCCCTGGGGATGTGGGTTTTGTCTTTGTTCCCCCCCCCCCCGGCAGTAATTACGAATGTGTTTTTACCCTGTTCCCCCAGTAATTACGCATGTTTTAAAAACCTTGTGGTTCATCTGATGCTAGCTGCTGTTGTCTTGACAGAGAATTTGCTGCCCCCCCCCCCCCCCCCCCCCCAGTAATTACGAATGTTTTTTCACCCTGCTCCCCCAGTAACGCATGTTTTTACCCTGTGGTTCATCTGATGCTAGCTGCTGTTGTCTTGACAGAGAAGGTTCCTTGCCCATATGAACATAGATATCGGTTTTCTGCGTGTCGCTAACAACGATTGTGTGCGTGCGATGTGCTCCGTTTGATTTTGTCTTCTCTGTTCAGGAGCCTTACTCGATTTGATGTGAAGTTGTTTGTCCAAGAAGCACTTGTCGAGGAAAGGAACTTCAAGTTGAAGCCAAGGAAACTTCAGGGCACACACGTCTTTATTTGTTGCGACCCAGCTCTCGGTTCCCCTTGCGCATCGCAAGGGCCTGACTTGTACAAGAAGTTCAAGGATGCAGTTGATAAAGATAGACTCAACGATCGAGTCAAAGTGTGGAAAACCTCCAGTTTCTTTAATCACAAGGAGCCGGGCAATGTGATCATATTTCGGCATCGAAGTGATGGGGGAGTCGATGGCGACTGGTGAGTGGGAGATTTCCGGATTGTCCGTTGTTTTGTCGACGACGATGTCCCAAAACATTATTACGTATGTCGTCGTAAAGTTGAAATTTGATGCAAATCGCTATCGCACGTATTGATCGACCTTGGATTTTTTTGCGTCTTTTATGATATCCTGCACGTACACTGCTGCTGCTGCTTTCTGTCGCGGCTTTCGCTCTTTCTGGCGTTTTGTGTTTTTCTCCAGTTCTCAATCGATCTGACTGTTTCCCCCTTTCGCGGCTGCTCGCCCTAACTTCTTCCCTCCCTCACCTCACCCTCTTGCTTGTGGACTCGGCCTTTTTTTTTTTTTTTTCCTGACTGCTTCCCCCTTTCGCTGCTGCTCGCCCTAACTTCTTCCCTCCCTCACCTCACCCTCTTGCTTTTTTTAACGTTTTTTTTTTTTGTTTTTTTCTTTGGGATTTAGCCATTTCTCCACGTCTCAAACGTCACCATGGAGGCCCGCTGCTTCCACCTACACTGTGCTTTCCTCCTCGTGCTTGATTTCCTTCTTCTCTGTTCACGTGTTTCACTATCCTCTGTTCACGTGTTCGCTTACCTCCTCTTGCTTGATTTCCTTCTCTGCTCACGTGTTTCTTCTTCGTGCACGTTTTTCACTATCTGTTCACGTGTTTGCTTACCTCCTCTTGCTTGATTTCCTTCTCCTCTGCTCACGTGTTTCTTCTTCGTTCACGTGTTTCACTATCCTCTGTTCACGTGTTTGCTTACCTTTTTCTTGATTTCATTCCCCTCTGCTCACGTGTTTCTTCTTCGTTCACGTGTTTCGCTATCCTTTGTTCACGTGTCTCCTCCTCTGTCGCTAGCGTCCTCTGCTCTCACGCCCCTTCACAAGTTGAACACGTGGTGCGTTGAACACGTGGTGCGTTTCTTCTTTCCCCCTTGTTTTTGTTCTTCAAGCTGCGCCTCGGTGGCGTCGGAGTGAAGAACACGATTCGTCTCCTCTACTTGAGCTGCTTTGTGGTCTGTGCCGTATTCGTTTCTCTTTCCCTATGCTCGCTCTTCTCTCACTACCTAGTGTGATTGCCAGCTCACTTCTCTTTCTGTTCCCTCGATCGACTATCGGCCTTTTGAACCAATTAAAATAGTTAACGTTCAAAGAAGACGGAAATATGGCGGATGCACCTAGCCGCATGATTATGCGGAAGATTCCTTGTCATCTTGCACATCTTTTCTGTTGGGCCGTGGAGTGGCGAGGTCCTGTTTTAACTCGGTGGTGGTCCCCACACTTCATCATGTCTCCAACGGCAGCGTGCAGTTCCGTTCTTAGCGGCGAGAGGCTCTGTTTGTATCTCTCGTTCGTCACCGACACTCACCGTCGTTTTCAGTTTGTCGTCATTCGAACCCTCGTTCTTATGATTGCAGTCCATTATCTTGCACTAATTTGTATCCACGTTTTTTTTTTTTTTGTTTTATAGTAATTTGGACCATTTCTCGATTTATGTGTCATCCTTTCGCAGGGGTCGGTGTGCTGGCTGACTAAACTCCTGGTTTTATCTTTTTAGGGCGGGCGTGTTTTTCACCTACCGTCTTCACCCGAATCTAGACTGAAAGCTGCACCACGTAAGTCTGTAGTGACCGGGCGTTGTATTCGGGTGAAGACGGTAGATGAGCGAGTTTCCTTGTCGGCTCTCCGATCTCTTTGTTCACCATTCAGTAGAGCGCTTCGTCGCCATATCCTGTGTCGTGTCTCGGGCAGTGTCTTTTTTTTTCTTTCTGCTCCTCTAGGGTTTTCCCCCGAATACAACGTACGGCCATTATACCTGAATTTGGTGTATCTTTCAGTCTAAATTCAGCTATAATGACCGTACGTTGTTTTCGGGGGAAGACTGTAGGGTATTCCTGAATTCGTCTTCTTTCTGTCTTTGTTTCTGCCTTTCATCCGGTGAGCTCTTCTTTGAAGAACTTGATCGGCTCTCCGATCAATGTTGTGTGCCCGAAGTCTCTACGTCCGTACAAAGTCTGTCCGTACAAGTAGTCTGTCCGTACAAATGAATGATCATTGTTCCTGCCCTTTATCACTTGCAGTTTCGCTGAATGATCATTGTTCCTGCCCTTCATCACTTGCAGTTTCGCTGTATCAGTGTTTCTTGACCGTCGATTCGTACGTACGTCAATGAAAGATCTGTGCGAGTACGTGTATACCCTCCCTTGTCTGAGTATGTATACTCTTGTAGCGAGTGTATCTCGCGTTGTCTGTATGTGTACACGCCTATGGTTCGTCTGTCTCTTGATGTATATGCTTATGGTGTGATCCGTCGATTGGTCTTTTGCCGTCTACCTGTTCTCCGACGTCTTGACTCACGTTTGGTCGTCACGTCGTCTCGGCTCTTTGCAGTGAGCAGCCATGTCCATCACATGGTGTTCACCTTTCCCGTTTTTGCATCGGCCGTTCTCGTCGTTTCGTTGTGCTTCGCACGTCAGAAGTTCATTTTCTCTGCAAGAAGAGAATCGTTTGTTTTTGTGGTGAAGTCGAATGTAAGAGGCTAGACCTTTTTTTTTTTTTTACTGCTGAAAACCGGGTCCAGCGATGCTAGACCTGAATATCCAAGTTGGTGGAGGAATTTGGGCGTCCCTCTGATCGCTTGTCCCGGTTTTTATTTTTGTGTCGTTTGCGATGATCAGGTACGGGATGGTGAAGTCTTCGGATGTCCCGAAGTTGCTCCGTGAGCACATCGAGCGAGGAAATATTCTTGAGCATCTCTGGAGGTGAGGGTGTGGACCATGGAAATCTCAGTTTAGTTTTTCCGTTTGGTGTTCTCGTCGGTTTTGCTAGTACCAATCTTTCTTTCCTGTTTTTCTTTTCGAACTTGTCATTGAATTACGTAGTCGACGATATCTTCTTGGTTTTTTTTTTTTTTTTTTTTTTTTTTGCCAATGTCTTCTTTTGTCGTTATCGCGGTGTCCCCTTTTCCCTTGCTAGAACTACCTTCTTCCCTCGAATACAACGTACGGTCATTATAGCTGTATTTGAGGCATCTTTCGGTATAGATACAGCTATAATGACAGTACGTTGTATTCGGGGGAAGAAAGAAGCTGCCTCTTGATTGTGGCCTGATTGATGCACACACGAGAGTGTACGACAGTATACGAGAGTGTACGTCTGACCCCCTCTCCTCTCTCGACCTAGCGGAGTCCTGTGGATGAAGGTAGTGTTGGTTCCAATGGTGCCTCGTCTCTTGTGTGAAGAGATTGATCTCGGTTCTCCTCTCTCTCTCTCTCTTTCTCTCTCTCTCTCCTCGTAGGGGACATGAATTTCTCTGTGCTTGATTGTTGAGCTGTCCGTGGATCTGTACACGAACGGGTGAATTTGAAAGCTGCTCCAGCGAGGAGATTCGCTTTGTGCTGATGAGAGTTGGATCCGTGTGGTGTGTTGCATGCATGCAGGGGTAGAATGGGAATGGACGAGGAGCAGCAGAGAGAGGAGAGGGAACAGCGGATGCGATCCCGATTGGAAATGTACAAGTGCCGACCCGACTCGGGTATTCCTCTGATTGGCGGCGTGCCTTTGAAGTCTGTGGATTGCCTCCGCAAGTGCGCAGACGGACGCTACGGCGACAGCCCGGATGGGGACGATGCGCGCTGCTTGAGTGAAAGCAGCTCGTGTAGTGGGCGCGAGGAGGAGCTGAGCGTCAAGAGATGGGCGGCCCGCGAATCTGAGAAAGTATTTGGCCTCGTAAGGCAGAACAGGTGTCACTACGCCTTGGTGGATGGTAAAGTTGTACTGGACTCCTTTGTGAAGAGGGGAGGTGAAAGTCCGCTGCTGGGGGAGCGGCCGCGGCCTCCTCCTGTTCCTCCTTGCCGTAGCGGCGGGTCGTGGAATCGTTCTATGATGAGCGCTTGTCGCAGTTCTCGTATGGGGACCGGTTCTTTGAATTGCAGCCCAAACAGCAGCTGTGGTGGTGGGAGTGGGGGCGCCACTGGGAAAGGTGGGTTCGGCGCAACCAACTGCGGTATCTCGCCGGCGGGATTCCGGCCTGCAGCGGGCAGCGGTTGTGCTTGGAGACGGTCGGCTTCAGCACCTGCTGGACGTTCACAACGTCACAGCAGCAATCAGTACCGCCAGCAGCAGTCGCCCTCCTCTTCACCCTCGTCAGCGTCGGCTTCCTCGTCCTCTGCCTCTTCGTCTCTCCTGGGTGGAAGCAAGTATCTCTCGTCTTTTCTTCGATCCAATTGTCGATTAGAATGGGAGAGTCTGGACACGATTGGTGTGACCTCGTTGGCGATAGCAGTCTTCTCGACGGCAGTTGCTTTCCAAGCCGTCGGATCGTTGATGTCGTCTTCATCGTGTTGTAGTCAACAGTAATCATAATTCAATTCCCAAGGTGTTGTTTCGTCCTATACGCGGGGGGGGGCTGGCGATGTGTGAGTGAGCGACGGAAGCTGGATGAGGTGAAAGAGAGGAGGGGAAAGAAAGAGGAAAGAGGAGGGAAAAGAGGAGGGAAAGAGAGGAAAGAGGAGGGGAAAGAGAGAGGAAAGAGGGGATGTCGAGGAGGCGAAGAGAAGGGAAAGAGGAGCACGATGGTGCAGAGGAAGGTAAGAGGCAGAGAACGGTCAGGATCAGTCTTCCACCATTGGCGATTGATTGATGATGGCCGGCATGAAAGATGGTTGTTCATGCTCAGTGTAATTGCTTGAAGATAGGTATCGATCCGCAGAGTAGAAGGAAGCACCCGCTGTCTGTACCAAAGCCAACTGGCAGGTGTTCGATTTGTGCCGTGTCTTGTCTGTGTGTGTGTGTTTGTGTGTGTGTTTCGTGTGTGTGTGTGTGTGCGTGTGCCCGCGCGTGTGCGTGTTCGTGTACGATGACGCTCGCGTCGTTCTTTAGCGACGTGTGTATCGCCCACGCCCGCTGTCGCAATCAATCATGTTTGTAGGTGTTAGGTGGGGTTCGTTTTATTTCGGCATTTTTAAATAATCTTTTTTGCCTCTTGTCCCTGTCGTAAAGAACGATTGACATTCTGCACGTGTCAACTTTAACATCGTTGTCTTTTTTTTCTTTTTTTTTTCGTTTGGTTTGGTCATTTTCGGTTCGACTCCCCTGTTATGCGGATTTAATCGATTCGATTTCGCCTATTCTATTTTATTCCGTTGTCGCCTCCGTTTCCTATGTCGTGAGGGACCTGCCACCCTCCCTCCTCTCTCTCTCTCTCTCTCTCTCTCTCTCTCTTTGAGCTCCCTTGCTTCCCGTGGCTCATTCCCGCTTTTGATATAGACACAGCCGTTGCGCATTCGAGCGCCCGAACTTCGCTCCCCGCTCATTTAGTTATTCTTATGGTGATTGGTCTTCTTCGTCGAAGATTATAGGTAGTCGACTAGGTGTCGTCGTTTTTTTTTTCTCCGAATTATAGGTTTTAATCGAGAACGAGGTGCGGTGTTTTGTTGATTGGTGGTGCTGTCATTGTATAAACGATTTGATTTTTTTTTTTTTTTTTTTTTTTTTTTTCCTGGAGTACCGCTGACGAGCAGGGGAAAACGAGAAGGAGATATTTGTGTGTGTCCCAGGTGATTGTTGATGATGATGGCGATGGTGATGACCGAATTAGTTACAGACCCGGTGAGAGATATCTTTCCCAGGCCTGTGCGGGGGTTTGCTCGAATGTGTTCTGGAGCAATTTCAACGGTTTATTGATTCTCCATAAGTTCGTCGCTCTTCCCGTTTTCCATTCAAATTGTCTTGTGGTGTTTTGTCTCTCGGTCCACGCAACGAGGCTATATTCGAGATTGATGTCCAAGGCGTAAGTAGGAGGGGAGTAGAAGGAAAAGTGAAGGAGCACGTTCCTCCCATTTCTCTCCTCCCCTCTCGTCAGCCTTGGGATTTGTCAGCCTTTCAGATCAATCAGTCTTTACTCGAAATCTCTGCGCGAAGTCTCTGCGCTCGCTCAGCGTTCATGACGGTGGATCTGGCATTGTCACCGGATTTCATTCCCAGTCATAACCGAGCGGGCTGTGTGAGCACGCGCCTCTGTTCTCTCGCGTCTCTGTCCCTTCTCTTCCCTCGCCCTCTTCCCTTTCTCATGTCTCTCTTGTGCTTTCTTTCTCTCTCTCTCTCTCTCTCTCTCTCTCTCTCTCTCTCTCTCTCTCTCTCTCTCTCCCTCCCTGCCTTTTCCGCCTCTTCGTTCCTGATGTGGTGATCTCTCCGGCTAGCGCATTTTGCTTCTAGCCTATCTTCGTGCGGGTATGCTTGGCGTTTCGGATATGCGTGGCTGAACACTGGAGAACGTAGTCGCGCATGTAATAACTGCAGGAACCGACTCCTCGTTGCCTAACGCACCTGAGTGGAAAAGCACATGTGGCTCACTCTGCGGTCAGAGAATACGCAATGGTGTCTCTAACTTCTCTCTCTCTCGCACTCGCTTGCGTGATCTCTGCTTGGTGTTCCTTGGCTTCATACCCTGTTTTCCGTGTCGTTGTATTTCGTTAAGCTAGGGATGGCCCCATGCCGTAGATCTTCGAAGGATCGTTGCAGTTCTTGCTGTCTGAGATTTGCGGACGATTTGCCAAGGACGAAAGGAAGGGAGAGGGGGGGGGGGGGCGTTCCAGTGGCAGTCCTGTTTCATCATATCCCATTCATTCCTTGTTTGAAGCAACGACGTGAGGATGGAAATTCGGAGGCAAACACGACGGTGGCATGTTTCTTGACGTCGATACGTATGTTGCGTACGCAACGGATATGGGCCGCGTGAGCATTTGACGGCTCAGCAGGGAATCTTGTCGGCTTGAGGACGAGGACGACGACGTGGCTGGTTGGTTGATTGGTTGCTCGGTCCTCTTCTTTCGTTTTCTATCTTCTATTTCGATTCATCGGTGTCTGTGTCTCTCGCTCTCGGTTGCAATTGATTGCCCGAGAGAAGGGGAGGCTATCTACATCGACGGCTTCAATTTGTCGATTCATCGAATTTTTCTGGAACACGATCTGCCACGTGGCTGTAGTATCTCCTCTGCTTTGCGGCAAAGCAGCACTTCGAATCTAATCTGAGTCCGAAGGTTGCTGGTCCTTCCCAGACCCCTACTTGTCGTCTCTTGCACAGCCATCATGGGAGGGGTGTTCTGCTCCGTAGCAAAAGCTATAAAGGGGCAAAAGCATAAAGGGGCAAAAGCTATCAAGGAGGCCAAAAGCTATCAAGGGGGCCAAAAGCTATAAACGTGGGCAAAAGCTATCAAGGGGGGCAGGGCCAAAAGCTATCAAGGGGGGCAAAAGCTATGAAGGGGGGCAAAAGCTATCGAGGGGTTGGGTTTATGCGGTGTTAAGTGGTGGTAGGTGTCCCCAGTTTCTCTGTTATGAAGAAGAAGCAAAAGATATCAAAGTGTGTTCTACTCGGGCGGGCGCCCGTCGGCAGCGCATGGATGTGGCGGCAGAAAATGAGCGAGGTGAGCGAGGAGTGGAAAGAAGGGGAAAGAAAGGGGGGTTTTGAGAGGAGGGGGATCGAGCGTGGGGAAGCTAGTATTTAAGAGCGTTGCTCAGTAGGCTGAGTACCCCTGCTTGAGGCGCACCTGCGCGCAAGAGTTTCGCAGAGGAGGGGAGGAGACCGGGGACCGGCGGGGGAGCGGCGCAGGAAGGAGGATATTATGATGGGAACGGGAAGGAAGGGAATCTGAAAAAAATGATGCAGCTGTATATGTAATTGCTCGCGTGCTGTTGGTCGAGGGTTCGAGGCGCTTGGCTATCTCTGCGCGATGGCGTTTCTTCTTCTTCTTCTCTTCCGTGAACCCTTTGCGGTGGGTTTTACGGTTCTCGACAAGAGACTGAAGTGGTGGTGCTTCTGAGGGTTTCGACAGCGGCAAGGGTTTGGTAGTTAGTGGGGGGGGAGGGGGGGATGCGTCAAGGGGTTGTGGATTATAGTGGGTCGGACTCTGTCTGTATGGCCCTGCGACTAAGTCTAACGAATAGTCCCAGGGGCACTTTTGATTGGTGGTGGTGGTGGGGGGGGACGGAATTGAAATTGAAATGGTTACCCCGCCGATTGATTTGGGGGGGGGGGAAAGGGAAGGGGGAGGAGGGGATTATTGGAGGGGAGGGGGGACCGGGGCGGGGGAAGGGGTACGTATGGATGATTGGGGTTGGGGTGTGCAGCCTTGCCGCTGGCGCGCAACGAATCAGATGGGGGTGTTGACGAATAGGTTAAGGGGAAGGGTGGGCTGAATAAGGCAAGGGTGAGATGAATGAGGAGAGAGAAGAGAGAAACGAAATCAGATGGGAGAGGTCGGGGCATATACTTGTTGGGCGGGGCGCGGCGGGAAAGGGG